CTTCCTTTACCAATCACATTTGTATTTAGTGAAGAACAGTTGCATCAGTTGCTCCAAAACGAAGGAAATTTTGTCTAAGTAACGAATAAGTAATTGTAGAGATCAAATAAAATCGAGTTTAGATGTGATAATTTTTTTCCAGTTTAAAATAAATTCTACATCTTTTGAGAATATCAGATGCTAATTTCTACTTTAACTTTTTAATATGAAAAAAAAAGTGAAAAAGAGATACACTAAAATTTAGCGGTGCAAAAGGACTGATGCACGCGCATCAGTGGCGACACCCAAGATCCGCCCCTGACTTTATAGGCACGTACTAGAAAAACTGTTAAAAAATTTGCCCTCTCTAAGAATCAGGTAGAGCTCAATATAAACCCTCTTTAAAATTGTCTTTAATATGTTGTTGCTATTCATACTAAAAGGTCAGTTCCAAGTTATTTTTCGAAAAAATGTTTGTTTTCTAGATATTGATTTTAAAAATTTGACAAATGTTTTAGGGTTATTCACTAAATTGTGCCAAACGGATTTTCAAACTTGAAATTAGAACAGCCGTCGCGAACGGGTAGCGCACTTGCCTCAGAAACAATGGATGCGTGTTTCAAACCCTACCTCTGGGCAAGTTTGGGACATCGGTTAGGAAATAAACTTCCTATTAAATACTCTTTTGCGGCACTCTGTGATAAGACAGTAAGAACTTCTTGGTGCACCTTAAAAATAAAAAGATCAAAGTCTATACTTTCCGATGACTACATCATTTTATTATTATATATTAATGAGTTAAAATCTAAAATCGGATAAAACGCATATGGTCGATAGCTCGCAATGTTGATAGCTCGTGTAAAACGCATATGGTCGATAGCTCGCAATGTTGATAGCTCGTGTAAAACGCATATGGTCGATAGCTCGCAATGTTGATAGCTCGTGTAAAACGCACGGATGGTCGCTCGTCTAAATATCATGCTCCACAATAGTACGCAAAAATTGATTTTGTTATTTTAAACCTTTATTTTCAACCAGTGATTTTTTTCCACCCCTTAAATTATTTTAAATTTTTTTTAAAAAACGTTAATTTAGTAAAATATCTCAAAATATAAATATATTGACGAGGAAGAAAAGATTTAGAAACTGTTAATAAATTATGTTACGCATTTGGATCTTTCTCCTACAACGTGGCGCGTGAAGGAGGGGGAGTTAGTTGTGTGGGTTTGGGATATTTTGTTACAAGAAAAGGAAGGGGTTAAAAAAGCTAAAAAAAAAGCTTGATGTACTTTATGAACATCCTTTAGTCGTAAAAACCAACGTAAAAACGAAGTATTAATTTTAGGGGAACAAGCTCTTGCTTAATGGTGACAAAACAAATTATATACTATTTGATAAAAAAACACAAGAAGAAAATCTTCCTCTTAAGTTACCTAACCTATTTTTAAATGATAAACTAAAGTAAATTAAATAAATGAAAGATAAATTTAAAAACCAATAAAAAATTCTTAGGAATTATTGCTCTTACGTTAATACACAGTCTTAAATCTTCATTAGCTATGCAAACATTTCACGGACAAGTACTCAAATATCAAAGCTGAAAAAAATTTATAGTTTACAAAAACAGCTACAGAGTCATTTACTCTAAAGATAGACGCGGACACGCTAAAATCTTAATGAAAAATATGAAAATGATGAATGTATTTGATATAAATATCCATCAGCATCTAGTTTTCATGTGCCATTAAAAAACAGTATCTCACCTGCAAGCTTTGATAACAAGTTTGAAATAAATAAAAAGGAAAATTATCATCTAAGAGCGAATATGATGAACGCATATAAAATGACGCAGAAAACGCAGGCTAACGAAATTTTACTTTTTTTTTTTTTTTCTCACAATATATTTTTCTTATAGAATTCCTCATTCTGATTTCAAGTATGCAATCTTTTTTCTTCTATGATGACAAGTTTTAATGATATTAGGGTTCAAATTCCAAATATTTGGAGTAAAATCCCTAACATTGTAAAAAAAAAAAAAATTAAAAGTATGTAAACCTGGGTCTCAAAAGAAACCTTTTTTTTTTTTTTTACGAAGATTTCAAAAACGCTAAAGAGTATCAAAATAATCTAAAAAAAAAATGTTTTTCACTAATAAAATAAAAAATGTTTGAAATTTAAACCCTAATATCTTTAAAACTTGACGTCATAGAAGAAGAAGGATTGCATATATGATCATAATCAGAATGAGGAATACTATAAGAAAAACATATTGTAAGCAAAAATAAAAAAGTAAAACATTAAAATTTCAATCGCCTTTGTAACTAATAAATATTCAAAAAATAGCATTTTGATGTCGATACCAAAAGCATAAAATCACTTTTAAAAAGGATTCAGAAGTATGGTAAACTTGTTAAGTTCATTCAGATTTATATAAAAAAAGAAATTTTTAAAAGTTAAAAAACATTTTTCGTTAAAATTATTCTGATTAATTGTTCTTAATTCTGTTCTTGTTTATTGCGTAATAATCATATTAGCTTACTACGCTTTTTATTACGTATTTTTTTTACATATTACAATATTCTTTTGAAATTTTGTTAAAGGGGCTCTACGTTATGATTGTGATTACGTATGGCCATCCTCATCTTTTTTGAGCCCCTATTTGTTTTAATTGTTTCTTATTTATTTAATATTATGAAGTTGTAAAAGTTTTATTCTATGTTAAAAAGGAGAAAAACATAAAGAAAGGTAGGTTTGTAATTGTTTGTTTAGGTAGCCCTGGGTTTTCAAAAATTAAGAGAAACCTGAGTTATTTTAACTATTAGATTATGAAAAACGTTTGAGAAATGTATTTAATAATTATTTGGATTTTGCAAATAAGGAGCTGTTCATAAATTAAGTCATGCTTTTTGTATAGGTTTTTGACTTCCTTCTTTCCATTTGTCACAAAATCCTAACCTACTCTCTGCTCCCATACATAAACAGCCTTAACATCTTACTTCGCTATGGACATTTTATATATTTTGAGGTACTTTACAAAATAATGATTTATAATTTCACAAATAAATTGTTGTCTACCAAAGGCTTTGGATAAAGTGGTTTGTTATTGAGCTCTACTTGATTCTTACACAGAATGGCTCTTGAATTATGTTAAATATATATTATTTCTTTCTTCAACCAGATGTTTAATATCTGTTGAATAAATAAATAATTTTTGAAAATATTCAGAAATAAAACATTAAAATAAACAAATATAAAATAAAATACTAAGTGATAATGTTAACTCTTAGTTATTATTTATTCAAGAATATTATTCTTATTTATTTATTCAAGAATTATTGTTTTTTTATCTTAAATATTTAAGCATTCATAAGCCTAATAAATATATATTTTAAACTTTTACTTTTAAACTTCTGACTTCTCATTTTTTCATTTTTTCTATGTCATGGATTTATTAAATACGTTTCAATCAGGGCTCGCTGATAAAACTAATTAATGCCTTCTTCTTGTACCGACCATCAATTTTGTCATATATTTGACATTGTATATATTCTTATGCAATAAAATAAGTTAATCTAAACAGCTGTTTAGTTTATCAAAAGTTATCAAACCTTGTTTTGTTTTTAAGTGTTTTATCAGTATGAAAGTTTTGTTTTTAGTTTGTTTTAAAAGACTGTCTAGTTCTTTTAGACTTCTTATTAAATTAGAAAAATTTGGTCTGCATTTTACAATCTTTTTTGAATTATAAACCTTTTAATCAGTGTGGTTGTTGTGAACAACCGCACTACATAAAATAAAAGTTTTTATTTATTTTTAACTTCTGTTTTAAAAACCTATCAAAAAAGTATAGAACGAACAAATAAAAGGTAATTCCGGTGCTTCAACCTTTAGTAGAAAGCTCCTTGCACCTTATAGATATTTTTATCAAGTAATTTATATTTACTTACTTAATTTATTGATTTTTTAACTGTAATAACGATCCATGTCCCCCCGGATCCCATAGTTATCTCATAATGCCATAAAAAGTAACAATATTTCATCAGAAGCGCAATATAGGAAACATTTGAAAGAGCGCATTCCATCTTAAAGTCAAGGGTTGGATAGGTAGCAAACCATTATGTTGATTGAATTCGCCCCCACAAAAACAGTAGAATTATTTTTAGCAGTATAATCTAGAAGTACCGAGAAACAGGCAGTAATAGAACAATATAAAATGACCCCCTCATTTTTGAAGGCTTGGAAACGTTATTTGCGCATAACTTTCGAACATTTAAAAACCAAATGAAATTCTCGACTTGATTGGTTTTCTGGGAATATCTCGATTAAAAACCAAATGAAATTCTCGACTTGATTGGTTTTCTGGGAATATCTCGATTAAAAACCAAATGAAATTCTCGACTTGATTGGTTTTCTTGGAATATCCGCGTTCATTTTTTTTAATACTTGTATATTTGTTTAATATTTTCTTATTGTATAACGATATTTTTTCATTTAACTATTTTATTGTAAAATATTTTACGGGAAAAAAATCTATTGTTGAATATAAATTTAAGTTAAAATAGTAATAATAAAAAAAACTAAGTATATTATTGCCTTGAAAATTGGGGTCGCGAATCGGGCGACTCAAGCTTTTGAGTTTTTGTTCTTCCAAGACTCTAATCGCAGCAATTTTTGCAAAGCCCTCTTATTTGATAGAAGCATAAACATACCCATGTTTGCTTTATGTCTGAAAGTTATCTTTATCAAACATCAAAAAAAAGAAGCGGTCACCAGGATTTTATTGATGAACGTTTTTTATTATATTTCCGTAGATTTATAAATGCGTTCGATATGAACATATCGATTTATCAATTTAGGAACAGTCCATTTATTTTTGAATAAAAACGCTTAACTTTCTTTCGAAACTTGTCGCGTATGCGGTGAAATATAGAAAGCCGGAGAAGAACTAAATTTTTTAACGATTTTCTAGTTCTTCTCCTTATTTATTAATTCTCAATAAATTTTTACTTTAAAAATTAGTTGATTCGCTTCTTATTATCGTATGTGTTGTTTGTAGATTTGTTACAGTTTTTTTCTTATTTTTGCAAAAAGAAACAAAGTTTATATTAGTATGAATGTTGGTGAAAGAGAAAACTCGCCATGTTTAACTTCTGACACCTCTTTCCAAGTATCTCTTGCAGATGCAAAGAATAAAGTTTGGTGGAAGTTTTATATTATGCGGGTAATAAAGTTCCTAGTTACAATGATATATTAAAAGATTGTTTATAATAAATGTCTGAATATGATTGATTTATGTAGTATTTGTTAAAAAGTTTTTAATAATAAAACTTATTTATGATTAGCCTGGATTATTTGAGCAAGCAGTTGGTATAATTAGCGCAAATTTAAATAAAGATCGTGATGGAATATATCAGTCTGCATGGGCTCTAGCTGAGTAAGTTTTAATATTTTTATGTCAAATGTAAATTTATATGCTTGAATAATGTAGGGTTGCATCTCTTTCTCATTTCTAAAAATACTATCATGTTTGGTGCTTAAGCAAGCTATTATTTCTTGTTCTACCTATTCACCTACCAAAACACAATTTTGGATGACTCTTTGCGCTCAAAAAACTTTTATTCATTAAAATTTTATTCTGAAACATCATTGTTTAGGAGTTCTCCTGTCTTCATATTTTCTTTACTCGTACATTTTACAGTTTTTAAGTTTTATGTGAAGTCTTTTTTTGTTCTTGACTTTGACATAAAAATTTAACAAATAAAAAGTGGTAAAAAAAAATGTCTTTATATACTGCTAATTGTATTTATATACTGCTATGATACAGCAGATTAAAATAAAATGACACTTAATATAACATTTATATATTTTATATATGTTATAACTTAAGTTTTTGGTTCATCAACCTGCAATCTAAATAATAGAATCATTTGTTAAAGGAAAATGCTATCCTACTTTAAAAGAACTTATCCAAGTAAACGATGAAGGTCTTTTAAAAATAGCAGTATCAAACAATACATATGGTAAAAAAAGATTTTGTGTCTCTGGAGCCATTCTGTACAATAAAGAATACAAAAAAAAATATAAAACAACAAAAATACAAAAAAATATAAAACAAAAATACAAAACAAAAATAATGCAAAAAAAATTACAAAAAAATAAAAAATATAAAGTTAAAATAAAACAAAAAAGTTATATATATATATATATGTATATATATATATATATATATATATATATATATATATATATATATATATATATATATATATATATATATATATATATATATATATATATATATTTAAACTTCGAGCAGCGGAAGAAAGACCGGATACTGTCAAATATAATAAATTACCAAGAAGTGCAAAAAGAAAAAACTAAAAAGGACCAGATAATAGAACATTCTGCAAAGGCATAGGTGTCAAGCTGTCATCGAAAGAAAATAAAAAATTTTACAAACAAAACAAACAAACCAATATAATTTCCTTATTTTAAAAATATGTTAGAACTCACCAATATATAGTTTAACTTACAATTTATAATTTAACTAAACAGTTAAATTATAAATTGCAAGTTATATTATAAATTGGTGAGTTCTAGCATATCGCAGAAGTTATATGATCTCTACTTTTAACTGATTTTTCATTATTTTATAACATTATAAAATAATGAAAAATCAGTTAAAAGTAGAGATCATATAACTTCTGGTATTCAATATCAAATTATCAACACAATTTTATTTTGAATTAACGATTAGTCATGTATTAGTAATTAGCTTGAATTAAAGAATATCTGACATTTAACAGGTCTTCTCAGGAGACGCGTGTGGTCGAACGCCTTGAATAACCATGCATATATATTTTTTTGTTGATAACATGGCCACGATTTTTTTCTATATATATTAAAAATGACGCATTTTAAAAACGTGCTGAAAAGGTCAAACTAGTTAGTCATCTTATTGTTTTTTTTTTTATTATTAATAATTTATTATTATAATTATTTATGAGAAAATAAAAACTTAACAATAATGCACATATATATTTTTAATTAATGACAAAATAAAAAGATAAAAATAATATATAATATATATATATATATATATATATATATATATATATATATATATATATATATATATATATATATATATGTATATATATATATATATATATATATATCAGGCTTTCCCAGGAAAGGCGTGCGGTCGCATGCCTTGTTTGTCCACGCATATAAGAAATTTTTCAGAAAACGTGACCGTTTTCTGGTCACGGCATTATTTCTGGTCACAGCATTATTTCTGGTCAGCGGCATTATTTCGTGGGAAAGCGGAAATTATCCACTGAGAATAAAAAATAATTTTAAAAAAAGGAAACGAAGTCTAAACAAAGAATAAAATTGAAATTGGATGTAAGAAAAATATTTTGATAATAAAAAAAAAAATTAAGAAAAAAAATAATTCTTGTAACAAAAAAAAAAAAATGATAAAAGTCATTGATAAACAAATTTTACATTAAAAGGTTTTTTTATTTTCTTTAAACATTATTCTTTTTTTTTTTTTGATTTGATTTTTCTTATTGATTTGATTTTTCATAGCTAAAATAACTACCACCCTAAAAAAATAAATAAATAAAATATAGGTAAACTTTTTTTAATTTTAAAGCACAAACAGATTTCTGTTATTTACTTTAAGGTTGCTTGCATTTTTGCGGTATTTTCGTTTAGCTATGTTTTGGCGCGAATTCTTGAAACGCATAATAATAAAATGTGGTCAGTTAGTCAGAAAAACTTATTCTATGCGTGGACAAGCAAGGCGTGCGATCGCATGCCTTTCCTGGGAAAGTCTGATGTATATATATATATAAGGCTGGCGCGTTAGGGGCTGTGGGGGGATGTCACACCCCCCTTCAATGATTTTAAGTCGGCAAATTTGACCCTTAGTCGGTAAATTTGACCCTTTTTTACTAGTTAGTCGGTAAATGTAGACCTTGTTGATAGGTTAGTCGGGATAGAGGGTGGGGGGGATGTCACACCCCCCATCAATGATTTTAAGTTGGCAAATTTGACCCATAGTCGGCAAATTTGACCCTTTTTGACTAGTTAGTCAGCAAATGTAGGCCTTGTTGATAGGTTAGTCGGTAAATTTAGACAGTCAGTTGGCAAATTTCGTCATGGCAGTCGGCAAATTTTCACTTTTTTTTTTTTTATAGTCAGCAAATGTTGTAATGGTATCCCCCCATGTGACACCTACTCGCGCTGGCCCTGTATATATATATATATATTTATTTGTTTTCATGCATTTAATAAAATTCTGGTGATTTTTCGTTAAGTTTTTGTTTACTAAATGAATTATGTCATTAAGTAATTAATATTTCTTCCTGTTGGCTTGACAAGGTTTTAACTGAAAATTTTTATATAAGGGGAATTAAAAAAAAAAACTTTTTTTTTATATGTATTAAAATTATTTATTTTATTGTTTTTTTTTTGTTTGTTTATGTACTATTATTTTGGTTGACATATAGATGTTTATAAAAGATTTAAATGTGAATACTGAGCAGCATTTTAAAAATTCAATCTTATAAAAATAAAGCAATACCCATAAACGTAAGAAGTGCAAGTAAAAACTTCGATAAACCAATTACTCAATTAAGTTATAATAAAGATGTAAAAATAAAATATTTTTCTGAAGTTGCTCTTGGTCTTGCGAAAAACTGTTTTCGGTTTGATAACTTTCATGAATGTTATGAAAAATCACTAAGGAAGAGTGCCACCAGATTTAAAAAATTTCTTTGTTAATTATTTTTAATAAATGAGTTCAATACTTATGCAATTCTTTTGTTACGTAACTCTAACTCTTAATAATAGATAAAAAAAATCATGAAAAACGCTTGATAATGTAAGTGATGTAACTTAAGTAAAACATACAGTATCAAAAAAATAAGTTTATTTTAAAAAGTTTTTATTAAAATTTTAAATTGGTATAGAATTCTCTGCATTTTGTGAAAGTTTCTAATACAAACTGCTTTACTGTTTCGCAGAAATGAGACCTATAAGTTGAATCAGTATTTTTACCTTGTTTTCCATGTAACATAAGTGCAAGTGGTATTTTTAGTAATATGTTTGCTCTCTTTTAGCCGAACTCAAAACTTTTAAGATTATTTTATTTATTTGACTAACAGCTTTCATACTAAATTGCTAAAAGTTTAATTTAAAAGTTTAAATAAGCAAATATTTGATAAAGTTGTTGCGCGTGTAATGTAAGGTAAAAATGGAGTTACCCCTGTATTTTAATGTTTTTATTTTCTCATTAATAACTATAATAATGAATTATTAGTAATAATAAAAAAAAGATGAGCAATTAATTTGTTTTTTTCAGCGCATTTTTAAAATGCGTCATTTTTAATAAATGCAAAAAAAATCGTTGCCATGTTATCAACAAAAAAATCCTCCTGAGAAGGCCTGATTTCAAAATTTACTTGATAATGCTTACTAATCTTGACCAATAAATGTTCAATTTTAATGATAAAATAAAATAAGCAATACATGTTTTACAAAAAAAAACTTCATTAAATATATTCTCCCATGATTAAATTTTGAGAATACTTGTACCCAATGAAAAGTTTAGCAAATAAATGCTGTTAATTAAACTTTTATAAGGTTAACTCTTTTGCTACCAGCTGTTTTAACAAAAATCTTTATGCTGCAACCGCCAATTTTTTGGAATAAAATTTGGACAACTATTGACAACTAATTAAAATTCGAATAGTAAATCTCTTTAAAAGTAGAATAAACTATATGTGCTTAAAACCATTGTTTTGTAAATAGTAATTGAAACATTAAATTCAAAAGAAAACTCATTTAATGTATAAAAAGAATGTTTTTCGAGGCGAAAAAAAGACGTATTTAATTACTTAAGTAAATACTTATACACTTCTACAAGTTAAATTTTAACAAACAAATTATATGTGTTTAGAGGGAAATTTTATATACAAAACAATATAAATTATGAAGCATACTCAAAAGTTGCTACCAGCGGCTTGCAGTTAAAATTTGAAAAAATCAAAAGCTGCTGTCAGCGGCTTGAGGTAGTGTTAAATAATATAAAATAATTTTTTAAACAGAATCTTAATATGTATAACAGTCATTTAATAATAATAAATATAACAAAAAAAATATTTTATAGCAATAGACGAGCTTAAAATATCTAAAATATTTTATATTTTTAATGCGAACTTTGCAAAATTCTACAGTAATTCATGATGAAAAAAAACTTTTATATAAAATAAGTAACTAAAAAAAATCTTTAGTAATCTATAATAATAATTTTAAAAAATTCTATAATTTGATTAAAAAAAAAAAAAGAATTTTCAGATTTCTTATTGAAATTCTACAATGGTGTCATTTACTAAAACTCTTTGCAACTAAACGCGCTTGAATAAATTATAAAGTCTGTGGCATACATTTTGAAGACTTGGAGAGATAGGCTAACATGGAGGTAGTGAGCTTCAAGTAAAACAACAAAGTTTGTTTTTGTTGGTATATATTTAATTTTTTTGTTTTACTTGAAAAAATTCTGCCCAAATATTTTTTTTTTATCATTCTCTTTAAAACGAACACAACTTGTCTTTGCATTTTTGGATCTTTCAACTTTTTATTATTTTTATCAGTAAGATTGAAGGAGTAATTGATTTTATAAAAAACCACATTAACTTTTAAATGACGATTATGTAAAAAAAGTTTGTTACAAAATTTTGAATGACAATTATGTTATATATAAGTGCTATCTACTAATGAAAAAAAAAAAGTGTATCTATTTGACATAATATGTTTGTTCGCATATAATGCCAAATAGATCCACAATTGTTCCAAGTTGACTCTTATTCAAACAAAAGACAGTTTTTCAACTTTGGGCATGTCTCAGTTCTATGTTTTATGGTTAAAATATAAAACTTTTGTTTCCAATTTTTTAAGCTGACCTGATGCCGACCTCAAACAGTTTAAAGTTGGCAAAAAAATTGCCTACATAATTTCTCCTGATTCTGAGGGTCAAAACTAGGCAGACCTGTGGCCTTATTCTTAAGAACACTAACAAATGTTGAAAAAAAGCACATATTAGTTGAAAAAAAATGGCTAATATATATGGCTATAATATATATAATATGGCTAATATATATGGCTAATATATGCTGTACAAGATGGAAACATAATTTAGGACCGCATATTATTTTAATCACAGACCAAAGATCTATTTTCCTTATTTTTAACAAACACAGGCCTTGTTTTAAATAAAAAATGCTTAACGCAACAGCTCTATGTGAGTTTGATGTCATAAAATTCTCTTTATTTTTTTATTTTTCAAAGATATTAACTTTCTTAAATTTCTGCAAAAATATTAATTTCCACAAAACCAGTTAAATGTTAAGTTCTTTTTTATTATTTCTATAAGGAAATATTTTATTTTTTTTTATTTTTAATATTCAATAATTAAATTTAATATTACATTTTTGATATAAACAAATTTTTCGCTCAACATTTGTATAAATGAATAAAAATTTGTTAAATTTTTTATAAAATTTTTTCCTAAATTGTAGCTTTGCAACTACAAATGATTTTTTATTTAAAAAAATTAGCAAATAATAATTTATTTACTTTGTTTATTAAAAGTTTATTATTTTATTAACAATTTTGTGAAAGCAAAGATTATTTTTCCAAACAACATTTATTAAAACTATATCGCTGTATGTATCGTTTATTAAAAAATAATCACTGTGATTTATCTTGCGTTATTAAAAAAGGTTAACTTACGTTTTGTGCAAATATATTTTTAAAATCTAAATTAAATTGTATTTTTTTTTTTAATCAGAATAAAATTATATATTTTTATTAAATTAGTTTTAAATCATATATTTCTTATCAGAATTAAATTATTTTTTCTTCAAGCTTAAAGTGTTAGCGTTTTTCATGCAAAAAAAAATCTATCTACAATTAAATAAAAACAAAATAAAAATAAATTTTTAATTTTGATTTTTTTTATTAGTAAATAGTGCTTATATCTAACATAATTGTCATTCAAACTTTTTTAACAAATATTTTTACATAAACATCATAAAGTTAATGTGATTTTTTAAATTAAAAATTAATTACTTCTTTTATCTGACCGCTTATAGAATAATTTAAAAGTTAAAAGATGATAAAAAGTTGCTTAAAATTGCTCTACGCACAGCACTTTAAAATAAGGTCTTTTTGGATCAGTTTTTAAAGTTCCATATTTAACAATATGAGTTTTTTTTTTTATTTGCTCATTTTGTAGTTTACTTGTTGGCGATTTTAGCTGCATGTTGAAAGCAGTTAAGATTTCTATATTGGTCTTGGGCATTTTTTTCACTGGTAATTGCATTGTCAAGATGAGCGTTTATTAGCTTAAAAAGTTTATCCATAACCCACTGAAAATTTAGTAAAGCGTTTTGTGTAACACAGGGTAAACATTTAAACTCATAAATGTGATTAGCTTGTAATCTTTAGATTATGTTTTCATTGATTGTATTTAAATGATTGATCACAAGGTGATTTGTGTTTCATGTTGATAACATATGGTTTATCTGTTATCAACAGGAAAACCATATATTGTTGTTTCAACATATGGTTTATCTTTTATGAAGGACTTATTTTTGGCAAATTGTCATGATATTGTAGTGACCAGTTTAATTTTGTCAATATCAGTTCCTGGTTTTAATTAGTATGTGGTACATTTCATGCTTTTTGTCGCCAAACAGAATTTTAGTGGCTCTTTTTCTTTAAAATTGATAGTAACTGATACATGATGTGTATCAGTTACTATCAATGTATATCCAATCTGAAAATTACCAGTGATATCAGTGAAACCAGTGATATCAGTGAAACCAGATATACCAGTGAAAATTACCAGTAATATCCAATCTAAAAATTACCAGTGTTTAGTTATCAGTGAATTGTACGTTTAATTTTATATCTATCAGTGCTATGACTGCCAATATTATTGTGTTTTTGTTTTCTTCATGATATTCTTTAACAACTGCTGCTCTCGTGTAGGTTTTTTTTGTTTCTAAGAGACAGACATTTTCTTTTGTTAAAAATGTGTACAGGTAGAATCTCCTGATGGGCATATGGTTTTTGGATGTAGATCAATAGGCACCAAAAACAATGATAAATCCTAATAAATCCTACAATATCTTAATATTTGAAAAATCTCCTAAAAAGACCTAAATTCTCCTAAAATATACTTGAGTTGTAATCTCCTAAAAAGACCTAAATTCTCCTAAAACTTGAGTTTAAAAAAATACTCTTAAAATCTCCTAATTTAAAATTTGTTTTTTGAGCTTTAAATTTTCTTTCAAAAATTCAAATTGAACTTTCAAATTTTTTATTAAAGTTTTTGTATAATATTTAAATTTTGTTAAAAGAATTTTAAAATCCTCCTAAATCATAATTTTTTTAAATTCGTTTTTCCAAGTTTCCTGGTAAAATCTTCTAAAAAGTCCTTAAAAATCTCCTAAATTCTTCTGATCGTTTAACTATGTTATTGCATAGTAAACCAAAACAACTTGAAGTTTGCAGTCCTCCAACATTTTAGCTTTACCTAGATAAAATGATTGCATCTTTTTCCCTTTATTTATAATCTGTATCATTTAGTGTCACATACTATTTTTTTGATTATTTTGGCATCCATACATACTTTACATTTGATAAATTTGTTGTAAACTTTAATAAAAAAGTGTATTTTGGCTTTTATCAAAAATAATGTTTAATACAATTAAAAAACTACAGGATGGATTATATAATGTATTGATTATATATAATTAACATCTCCAGTTCAAATCACCATATTATTTCAAATGTCGGAAAATGACGTCAATTACCCATTTTGTAATACGTGTTAAATATAACAATTGTAATAACAAGGCACTTTAAAAAAATTTCAAAGGAATAGTTAACTGGTAGGTAGAAAAAAGGGTTATTTCCATTTTTGTGCATGATTTTTTATTTTTCTTTGTTTTTAAAATTAGAAGCAAGGGCTTATAGCAATTGTGGATCTATACATGCTATTAGAATTATCATAAAAAATAATTAAAGCAAAAATATTTCTATCATGTTTTACATTATCTGAGTGTTTAGTTAAATATTTTTTTATTATTTCAATTTTAGTGTGTATTTATTTTGCAATATTTTGAAAAATATACAATAATTTTCTAAATGCTATACTCTGGCTAGAAATATTTAAGGAGTGCTATTTCTCTTTGGAAAAATATTAAATATGAGTTGTTGAGAATATTTCACTAAAAATTCTCACAAGCAATTTGTTTTCATAAAAATAACTACATGAAATTGACAAATTTGTAAATTCCGTTTGTTCCATGCATGGCCTTACACGAACTGCATTATAACAATTGCTGTGACTTTGATAACAGTGCAATCCTATAACTTTCTGGAAATCTTTACTAATATATAAAATATTATTTAAAAAAAAAGTATGATGCTCAAACTTTCTATTTTCTGAGGAATTAAAGTTTTACTAAAATTTGTGTTTTTTGTTCTGTGCGTGATACCGCTTCAAACTTAATTTATTGTTCGATAACATTATTAATGTATACCATTTTTTGTTTGCAAAATATTTATATAGATTAGAATTAAATGAGAGTAAATTGGAGATAAATTTCTTGTTAAAATAATTTTTAGTTAGAAGCTTATATTATGTGTTAACAACATATAAGATATAAATAGAAACATTTGTATGGCTAACTTTTGCGCGTCTTTGAGTACATTAAGTAAATTGATATAGTTGATAAGTTAATATTTGAGTAACTGTAAGTTACTGTAGTAACTTAACTGGTTGTTTTGATTCAGTTTATAAGTAAATTTATTGTGATCTACTTTATCCATTCAGTAAATCAAAGTTAAAAAAAACTTTAAAATTTTTAAGGGTTGTTAAAGTGAAGCTAAAGAGTTGCTGGTCTCTATTAGCATTAATTAACTATTAGGAAGTTTTTTTAATAAAAATGAATTTAATATATATTTTGATATACTTTAAGTAGTTTAATTAAGATTATCAATCATACAGTGATCATTGAACAATCATTAGTTAGTAGAGGAAATATTAAAATGTATAGTAACAAAAATTTATAAAAGACATAAAAACGACCTCTGCATATAAAATAATGCCTAATAAAGTTTTTATACTTAAAAAAATGTTTGCCTAATAAAAATAGCATTAATAATTATTTTAACTTATTTTTGCTTTATTTATTTTAACTTATTTTTGCCTTGAAAAAAAAAATTAAGTTAAAATGAATTTTAAATTTAGTTGTTTAGCATGTTTAGTAAACAATGTCTTTTATTCATGGTAACAATTAGAATTGGATTTAAACTTATTAATTTAGGCTTGATCATTGGGATATGGAAAATGAAAGAATTGTTGTATTGACTGATTCTAATATGGTAGTTGTTAAGTTTAACTTTTCAAGTATGTGTATTGAGTCTTGGAGAATGTTTAAACTAAGGCAAATTGATGGTGTTCAAACTGGTCCATTTGTCTATCCTAAAAGAAATGTTACAACGTAAGTTTGTTAAATTTTTTCATTTTATTTTTTGAAAATATTTTTAAATAAAAAAAAATATCATATTTACTATTCTAAAACATTTTACTGTTAAATCTATCTTTGAAAATGATACAAAATTTATCTATGATTAATTATTTATTTAAAATAAATTATGCTTTTGAATAGATAAAAATATAGCTTCCAACAAACTTAAGTAACTGTTGTTAAACTAATTAACTACTAATACCTGATTCACACCAAACTTGCACTTAAATAAACTGTCTTAATTGTGACTTGTTAAAATTACATAGGTTGTTTTATTTAAATAACTTTTGCACTTTCTGCGCGGAATTAAAACCAGTTCTAAATTGAAAGGATATAAAACATGTTTAAAATGGTTAAAACTGTTAAAACGTGTTTAATTATGGTATTAGACTAATTGTAGTTTTTTTAATCGAAATTCCGAGTTTAACACAGAAAGTAATCAGGAAAATTTTATTAATTTCAAATAAAACTTGGTATATACTAAATGTAATATTAATAAAGTATTTATAATTAATAATCTATTGATCAGTTACTTTACATTAGAAAAATATTTTTCAACACAAAATATTGTTAATGTAACTGTCATGCAATAAAAATTATTCATTGATTTTTCTACATTTATAAAAATTATTGATTTTTCGATGTTCTCCTAAACACTCGACCTTTTAAATCTATCATTATAACATACATAATAAGCAATTATGTCAAAGCTGATAAAAAGAATTTTAATGACATGTAACTTTATTGTAACTTAATTTACTATATTACAACTTAGTTGTTACTTAGTCTACAAATTACAACTTAGTTATTACTTAATCTACTAACTAACAACTTAGTTGTAACTTAGTTTACTAAGCTTAGTGTAAACTTTTACTAAATGTTTACTAAGTTAAAATTAAGTAATTTAGTTTACTAAGTTACAACTTAGTTTACTAAGTTACAACTTAGTTTACTAAGTTACAACTTAGTTTACTAAGTTACAACTTAGTTTACTAAGTTACAACTTAGTTTACTAAGTTACAACTTAGTTTACTAAGTTACAACTTATTTTACTAAGTTACAACTTAGTTTACTAAGTTACAACTTAGTTTACTAGGTTGCAACTTAGTTTACTAAGTTGCAACTTAGTTTACTAAGTTGCAACTTAGTTTACTAAGTTGCAACTTAGTTTACTAAGTTGCAACTTAGTTTACTAAGTTGCAACTTAGTTTACTAAGTTGCAACTTAGTTTACTAAGTTGCAACTTAGTTTACTAAGTTGCAAATTAGTTTACTAAGTTACATTTTGTTATGAAATGTAACTTTTATACATTTATGGGCTTGCAAAATCAAGCATATATGGTAAAATGCTGCATAAATAGGCCTTTCTATATCCATTTATTTAACCAAAAATTGAAAATTACAAATTTTTATAATTTTACAAAATTAGGTTAGGTGTCACTCATATAGTTAAAATTATTAGGTGTCACTCATATAGTTCTGTATTTTTGCTGCAAAGCATGGCTTGTAAAATGGCTTCAGAATGTGCATACCACGCTGATTGCCTAATTGTTTGCATAACAATATCTAAAACATTTTTATTCTGTGTTCTAAGTAGCTCTAATTAATACAAAATATGACTAGGTCCCTCTATCCAATCTGATTTGACTTTAATGTTTAATGTTAAACTAGTTAGGTATGTAAACACAACAATAAAATTTACAATCATTTGTAAATTTTCTAGATTTTTACCAGTAAGCCCATGATTTGACACCCAAATTCTGCAAAACTAAAGTGCTGTTGTTAGCTATCTACAGCGAAAGACTGGTCCGATTTTCAGCATTGCTAACCTGCTAGGCAAAACTCCAGTCTTTATTGCTTGGCAAATTTGATATGCATAATTTTGGTCAGTGCTTAAATCCTTAATAATCTCCTGACTGATATATCTGAAAGGAGGACCTAAATTTATTATAGTAAAGTTTGAATTGATTTCAATTTTAGTTGCTGTGTCAAGCATTTTCCCAAGTGGTCCAGACCATTTATTATAAGAAAGTGTTGCGCCATCTAAATTTTCAATTAAGTGCCTTAACCCTTACTCACCAGTATGTAGCTCATAAACAATCCACACTAACCTTCTGTTTAATTTTTTTTCTACCCATTACATGACACCACCTGCCCAACCTGTATTCACATTTGTGCTATCTCCTCCAATAGCCATAAGATTTTGAATTTGATTCTTACTTTTTAAGCAGTCAACCAAATGATCTGCAATAACTTCTGCTTCTTTTTTTATCAGCTGTCGCATCTGGAACGAAATGAAAAAGATAGTCACCCCCAGGGTCTTTTACAACAGAGTAATGTTCCTCTTTTTAATAAGGCTAGGAAAAATATCTTTCATTTACCTCTATAAACATTTTTGTAGCATCTACTCTCCCATCAAAAAAAAGGCATGTAACTGGGGTTTTTTCTAGGTCTACTCCAAACTGATTGTCTAATTCTTTTGCTAATTTTTCTTGAGCCCTTTTGATCTTGTTATGATCTATAATAAGATGGAAATCACTCTCGCTTATAAGTTTTGCAGCTATCAAAGTAGCTGTAGCTATTTCAGCTGCTTCTCTTAAACTTGTTTGATGTCTCATGCTAGCCAGAGCAATATTTTTGATTTTCATAGTATTATACATGGAAAATGTTTGATTCAGGGAAGATTTGCAGTTAATTGGACTACCTACTTGGATTATATTCTGCTCACAATCATCTTGAAATGTCATAGAGGAGCTACTTGCATAAACTGTTTCAACAGTATTGTGACGTTCATAATCCTAAAAAATATAAAGAAGTTCTTTTTATTTTTAATCAGAATCTAAACATTATTAACAACTTATTTAACACCCTACCTACTCAATTTCATATTTTTCTACAAAAATACTATATAAATTTTTAATTTGATCAATAATTGTACCCCGTTATATAGAATATAAAGAAACAAAACTTTCACAATGAAATATTTTGATAGAAAATAATAGTTTTAAACTTACTTGCTCTACATGGGACTAAAAAAGTGACACAGATTCATTTTCGTTCTGACAATATTATAATAGATGTTTGTATATACTCTATTGTAGTACAAGCTTTCTAATTAACCAACTACCTTTTTTTCTTTATCATTGCTACTTTTTGTTGTTGTTTTTTTTTTTTTAATTTTTTTAGATTCTTTTCTGCACCACCAATATAAAAAGTTCCAAAGCTTCCTATTTTAGTTCTCTGAGAATGAATTAATTGAAGCTCTACAATTGGAATTTTTTCTTCTCTCTTACATTTGCATTTTGTATGATTTTTTTCCATACATTCTGAAGTACATTTATACTATGAACAAAGAATTAGTTTATATTTACATAGTAAAATGTCCACAAGTTTGTCTAATTTTAAAGAAAACTTTGCTTTTTCAGCTTTTTTACCATGTCCATTACTAAAATCAACAGCTGATTTCCATAAACATTTGAGTTTTAAAAAAATTGTTTTTTCATGGATTACAACTGGATATACAAAAAGTGCATTTGTCTTAAACCATTGACCAAGTACAGCTGGTACCATATCAGCTACTAGCTGATCTACAGTATAGATCAGCTAGTAGCTGATATGGTACCAGCTGATATGGTACAGTATACTAATATGGTACAGCAAAAACTTTGAATCTTAATACTATTTCAAATATGCAACAACAGTATTAAGTAGAGGAAGTAAATTGTGTAATTTCTTTGATTTTCCAATAATTTATTTTATAATTAAAAATAAATAAAAAAATATAAGTAAATAAAATATTCCTTTTTTATGCTTTATTCAAATGAGTCACAATGTAGTTTTTTTTTTTGAATTTATTACGTTATTATTTGCTGTGTACTAGCAAATTTAGTTAACTATTAGTATTTTTAATTTTTTTTTTTTTTTATTCAATTTTTTCATTTCCAACCAGGCTGTAAAGAACCACTGTTGAGTTGGAAGTTACTAGAAGACAAAATAGTGTTAAATGGCATAGAAATGTCAAAGGGCAAGGAAATTGTTGACTTGAAAAGTTGCTTGAGTCAAGAAAACATGAAAATGGGAAAGAGTTCCAAGGTATTGATGAGCGAAGAAAAAAAACTATATAAATAAAAATTTTTAAAGCATGAAGGGGCAGATGCAGTGAAAGGGTCCAACTTTGCTGAATGGCGAGTCAAGCAAGAATAAGTTTTGTTTAATGGAACTACAGATAATAGCTTGTTGGAGCAGCGATCATGATAATATATTTTTAGAAAAAAGAATAAGATGCCACCTTACAACAAACGCAGGAGTTCAAGCTTGACTAAATATGGTAAAATTATGTCATACAGGTACAAAGTAAAGAATGTAAAGTAGAGGTAGAAAATGTAAAGTAGAGGTAGAGAATGTAATCAGGAGTAAGAAAAGGTTAAGAGTTAAAAATATTTTTTTAACCTTTTAAGCTATTGTGGTTAAATCTTTTAATTAAAATGTAATTATTTAAATACTTAATTACATTTGTGTTTAACTTTTATGTTTTATAAACCATATTTTATTGAATTAGTATAATAAAGTAGTATTCTAGGTATTTTATAACAAAGTAGTTAGAGCATTATCCTGTGTACCAACATGTGCTATACCTGATATAGATTTTCATGTGTTGTTTTACTTTTAAAAAATGTGTTATTTTACTTTTAAAATTTTAAACCAAAGAGGAAAACCATGAGTATAGAGAGTATTGCAGAGATTCAATATAAACAAACTATTGGAACTTGGCAAGTCTGAACTAAAGATTGCTGCATGTTTAAAGATGTCTAAGACAATTGTTTATGATATCATTCAGCACATCAATTCAATAGATGCCGTCAATCCAGCAAAGTTATGTGAAGATCTAGAATTACCATTCTAAAAGCCAACAAGATAATACCATATTTGGCTGTGAAAAATTTCAATCTCACAAAAAGATGCCTTACTAAGGAATTAATTTACCATGCTGCTTTAACACTGTCTCACATTTTACTCATAAATATATTTGTGAACATTTGCAAAGAATACAATTGTTGGATTGGTAAAATATCGCAACAGGTCATGTTCTCTGACAAAGTACAAGTGGAGCAGTTTGTTCAGCAATTTTTTTTATATTCTGATTCACTCCCAAAAAGGCTGCAAGCAACCACTATTAAGTTGGTAGTTACTAGAAAAAAAGAATAGAGTTATAGAGCAAGGAAACAGTTGACTGAAGACTTAAAAAGTTAAAGGTTGTATGATTCAGGAAAACATGGAATGGAAGAGAGTTCCAAAGGGTTGAAGTGTGGGGGAAAAAACTAGACTAATAAAAGTTTTTAGAGCATGCAGGGACTGATACAGTAAAAGAATGAGACTTTGATGAGTGACGAGTCAAGCGAGAATGATTTTTGTGTGATGGAACTAGAGATGACAACTCCTTTAGGCAGCGACAATGCTGCTCAAAGAGAAAGAGATGCAACTTTACTATGATGGGAAAGGGGCTCAAGCTTAGTAGATAGACCGGGTCCAACTACGCTTACAGTGTGTTTTTGGACCTTGTCTAGAAGAGAAAGAGCATCATTAGAAGAACCAACCCAAATATGACAACAATATTCTATACAAGGACTAATTATAAAATTAGCTGATGCTAATTTAGCAATTGATTGTATATGTTTAATCGAGATATGACTAAATGACTTGGGGTGCAATTACACTGCTAGCATTTATGCTGGTTTACACCCATTACAATAAGTTGAGATTATAGGAGCTGCTGTGTGCAGTATTTAGAGTTTCGGCTTAAAGCTAAAAGGTTTGATGCCGGCTCTGGCCAGCTAAACATTGGCAAAGAAGGTGGGGGTGAATTATGCTCTGAGATAATATAATTAGGTCTTCTTGGAGCAACCTAATAACTATTTTTAAAAAAATCTGTTTTGCAAATTATTTAAAAGTTTTAATAAAAATCTGTCTAATTAGTTTCAAATTAGAAAGTTTGATATTTTTATGCATAGAAGTGACACTTGCCATCAGGCAAAAAATCTCAAAATATGGCTCCAAAAAAGTGCAATAATGTTCTTGTCCTGTGGTCTGGCAACCTTAGTTGTTATCGAAAACTGTTAGGTAAAATTTAAATATTCTGGTGAGGAGCTGTTTTTAAACACATCCCAACCTCTCTAGTTTATCTGAGAATAAAAGTGGCTTCATAAAATACTGCATGAATATCAGGGATTATCTTTTTTGAGTTATTTCCGAAAATCCGGGTATTTTTCTCAACCTACATACAAGTTTAGGTATATATTTTTGTAATATATTTGTTTTTTAAGCTTTTTCACTCATTGCTCATACAATTAATAAAATTTAAAAAAAAATTGGAAAGAACTCAGCTAAAATCAAAATCAAGATATAAATCAATATATATATATATATATATATATATATATATATATATATATATATATATATATATATATATATATATATATATATATATATATATATATATATATATATATATATATATATATATATATATATTTAATTATTCACCTCCCTAAGGCCCGAAGGGGCCACTACAGTCGAGGAGGCTAATCATTTTATTTTTTTTAATTTATTTATTTTTGTTGTAAATTGTGGTACAACCCTCTCTCAACTCTTTAACTCCGAAACACGAACCTTGACAAGCAAGACTGCTGCGCGGAGAAATTAAGTTGAGCACGGTACTTATTTGTATATACTTACGCGGTACAACATATATATATATATATATATATTGTACCGCGGTACAATATATATATGTATATATATATATATATATATATATATATATATATATATATATATATATATATATATATATATATATATATATATATATATATGCAAATATTGCAAATATATACACATATTGCAAAAGCAAAAAAGTTACTCAGTTTTACTTTCTGCTCTTATGCAATTTATGATCACATTCGCCCCCCCCCTTCCTTTTTTTTTTTTTTTTTTTTCTACCTCTACTTAATACCATTGTTGCATATTTGAAATAGTTCTAAGATTCAAAGTTCTTGTTGTACCATATTAGTATATATATATATATATATATATATGTATATATATATATATATATATATATATATATATATATATATATATATATATATATATATACACGAATAATTTAAATGTATTGAAAAATAAAGTGCTCAATATTCTTAAAATAACAGAGCAATAATAAATTAAATGATAGAAATATTGATGATTTTATATTGAATTGGTCCATCCTTAAGACAGCACTATAATATTTCCAAAAAATTCAGGTTATGTCTGCAAGAAAAGTTTAACATAATTACACATGCAAATCAAAAATGTTTATTAAATAAAAAATTGGAATTGATTTCTGAATGCAAGCATGAAAATAAATTTTTCCTGAAAAACTATAAAAATAAGCCAGCTCAAAAAATAATTATAATAAATCCCTCTTTAAAAATATGTTAAAAAAAAGAAGTAAATAATTCTAAAAAATTATTTTCATAATAGTGTCAACATATTTAGCAAATGTGTGTAAAATATGTGTAATATATATATATATATATATATATATATATATATATATATATATATATATATATATATATATATATATATATATATATATATATATATATATATATATCTGTGTGTGTGTGCGCATATACACACATAATTTTTTAAATATGTATTTAGAGCACGCGCACATCAGTCCGGAGTACGAATATCATGGAACAAAAAAGAAGTGCTTTCATTATGGCAACGCTTTAGCCCTTTATTCAACAGTCCATCCTATGTTACATTTTCCGAACATAAAGCTGCATCTCAGCTAAATAGCTGCCCTCCTTACATGAACTTACAAGAGTTTAAAAAAGCAGTTATTTTAGCATCGCAGACATCCGGTGCTTTATTTGAAGGAGTGGATGGGCCTATTTATTTAGAAGTTTACATTGGAGCTGCTTCAATGATTCATAACAGTCCTGATCTAGGTTATTCAATGGAAAGAGTTATAGCTGCTTTTTAATAAGTTAGTTGTATTTGTGTATTTGTTTTTGTTAATATCATGTATTAATATTAAATTATTATTATTATATAATAATATTAAACTAATAATATTGAATGTTAGCTTCAAGAAATTATTTTTATTTTTTATGTACAGTTTTGAGTAGTTTCCTTGTGGTATTTCACGATCTTTTGTAATTTACTAATGATGTTTTATGTTACATTTTTATGTTATTTTTGTTTTTGAATTTTACTACTGACTAAATACAATTAACTTCTACTTTTTATCAATTAATTTCTTCAATGTTATGAAAGCGAAATTTTATTTTCAACAGTTTTAATTTTAAACTTAAATATTTTATCTATAATAAGTTCAGAAACTTTGATTTTTTGAGATTTGTGAGGCTTATACTATTTAAAATCTAGAGAGATTTGTACTTTATTTAACCAAAAAATAATTTTTCTAAATAACGAATTAATTTTTTTTGTTAATGTTTTTGTAAAATGTTCTGAAGTATTTTATACTATTAATTTTTCTGAATTATTTTGTTTAATTATTTAAGTTTATCAGCTTATGTTATTATATTCTTATGTTATGTTACGTTTTTTTTCCGAGAATTAGGCGATTTATTCCTCTGCCACTGTAAATAGTAGTTTGGTTTGCAAAATTTCAACATTTACTAGAGATGAACTGAACCGATCTAAACCATTGGTTGCCATTGGACACTTACGTTAAAGGGCGTTGAAAAGAACTGCATATTTTCGGTCTTTAAAAAAATGTATTTAGTTATAATTTTTTTACTTTACAATTACAAATGTAATTATTTACTTTAAATAATTGTTTTTATATATTTAATTTAGTATCATCTGCGGCCTTGAATTATAGTATAGGGAAATTAAATTTTCATTGCTACTCGATGTGAGAATTTTTTACTTGTACCTTTTTGTATATTATTATGTGGCGATTTTTAATTTTGTCACAAATTATAGTCTAAAATTCTATGGACTAGTACACTCACGTGTACTAGTCCATAGAATTAACTAGAAGTTCACGTCTTCCTTACCTATGGTGTTTATTGGGCTAGAGCCGGCGTCGAACCTCGGATCTCTGGGTTCTGAGCCAGAGCTCTAACCACTGCGCCATGACTGCTCAGATCTAATAACAGAGCACTGCGGAAGAGCATTTAAGTTCATGGTCGTAAACTTTTTGGTTAAATATCATCGGTTATGTCGACGTCAAGGATTGAATTAAGGCATCGCGATTTGCGATATCTGTTAAATTATCTGGTCTTCAAAGTTTCAATTTATGGAAAACCACGAAATTTACGGAATAGGCGAATAAACTTTAATTTGTTAGTGAAAATGTTATGAAAAACAAAACAATAAATTTATGACTACAAAAGTAATAAAACTAAAGTGTTGTTACTTTCATAACACTTTTTCAAGTTACATTTATAGTTTATTGTTTGATCAAACAACACATAATTAAGCTATTATAAATCAAAATGATTTAGTTAAGCAATTCCAAACTTTAATTAAAGTAGTAATGCATCTAGAAAAAATAAAACGGATATTTAAACAATGTTAAAAACCTTAGCAACTTTTACAAATACATATTTTTATAAACAGTTTAGCATTTCTAAACATCTTACTAACGGTCCGGAAAAAACGCGCGTTCACTTTAAAATCAACCAATGAAAACACTGGTAATTTACTTCTTATATTAAAAGGGGAGGGGGGGGCAGGAGGCTATAAACTTAAATTTCGTTTTATTATTTAATCAATTAAATCATAATAAAAGTAAAGATAAAAAAATATATTTCTAAATATACTTCTTTATAACTAAAATTTATTAAATTGAACACCTCTGTTTTTAGTTTTAAGTAAATGTCAGTACTACTCTCAGTGGCGAAACTGCGGGGGGAGGGGGGTAGCAGAGAAAAAGTGTCCTATTTTAAGCTAATTTTAGGTTGCATGGGCGATGTGGGGCTCATTTTGAAAGGCCTGCGGGGGGGGGGGGGAAGGGGAATTTTGCTACTTTTATAATAAAAATGCTTTAAGGTGCTTAGTGGGGTGAGTCGATAATTTTTGGAAAACTTCTCCTCCCACACCAAGCTTATTAAAACCCAACCCCAACCCCTTTTTGTTCATTTTCACTTGTTATAATCAAAAAACTATATCTCAAAACAAAAATTCAGTGAAAATTGGCTTTAAAATTAAACAAATATATATTGGTAACCGATAAATAATAAAATTTTCATTGTAAATCTTCCCCCTTTTTTTTATTATTTCCTCCTCCCATTTTATACATCCGGACTAAAATTCCCACCCCCACCTACCTTTGTATTAAGCACATTAGAGTAGTCAGTATCGAAATCCCTCCCCCCCCCCCTGCACGATTTTTAAAATAAGCCCCACATCGCCTATGCAACCTAAAATTAGCTTAAAAATAGGACACTTTTTTTTCTGCTACCCCCCCCTCCCCCCGCAGTTTCGCCACTGAGAGTAGTACTGACATTTGGTACTAGGTAAAATGCGAACTGCGAACCGCGAACTGCGAACCGGTAAAATGCGAACTTTTTTGCGAACCATTGTCCTATTGGTTGTTAATGATGTAATGTTTTATTTCCGTTAAATAATTCATTTAACGGTATATTTTAAGGACTTTTAAGCGAAAAAATTAATTAAAAATAAATAAAAGGAAATTAAGTGAAACTTAAAAAAATACAATATAATAATTTTTTTTTAAAATTATTTGATAGACTGCCCGCCCAAACCAAACCCTCAGTCGATTTAGCAGCACTCCGTTGCGAGTCAGGCTATAAGATAGTCGATGTAGCAGCATTCCGTTACGAGTCAGGCTATAAGATAGTCGATGTAGCAACGCTCTACGCATGTTTTACAGTTAAAAAATAAAAAATTTACTTTAAATAAAGCCTTAAAATAGATAATTAAGAATTGGAGAGTTTTTTTATTATTATTTTTATCATAACAATAATGGTCTCTAAAATATAATGTTTTGGTTCGCAAAAAAGTTCGCATTTTACCGATTCGCAGTTCGCATTTTACCGATTACCCTGACATTTACTTATAACTAAAAACAGAGGTGTTCAATTTAATAAATTTTAGTTATAAAGAAGTATATTTAGAAATAAATTTTTTTGTCTTTACTTTTATTATGATTTAATTGATTAAATAATAAAACGAAATTTAAGTTTATAGCCTCCTCCCCCCCCCCTCCCCTTTTAATATAAGAAGTAAATTACCAGTGTTTTCATTGGTTGATTTTAAAGTGAACGCGCGTTTTTTCCGGACCGTTAGTAAGATGTTTAGAAATGCTAAACTGTTTATAAAAATATGTATTTGTAAAAGTTGCTAAGGTTTTTAACATTGTTTAAATATCCGTTTTATTTTTTCTAGATGCATTACTACTTTAATTAAAGTTTGGAATTGCTTAACTAAATCATTTTGATTTATAATAGCTTAATTATGTGTTGTTTGATCAAACAATAAACTATAAATGTAACTTGAAAAAGTGTTATGAAAGTAACAACACTTTAGTTTTATTACTTTTGTAGTCATAAATTTATTGTTTTGTTTTTCATAACATTTTCACTAACAAATTAAAGTTTATTCGCCTATTCCGTAAATTTCGTGGTTTTCCATAAATTGAAACTTTGAAGACCAGATAATTTAACAGATATCGCAAATCGCGATGCCTTAATTCAACCCTTGGACGTTACCAACGTCGTTTATCTGGCCGGAGTCAGCATCAAGCCTCGACTTTTCGGTTTCACTTTAATACACATGAACAAAACCCGCTTTATTTTAGTTGTTTAATTAGTTTTAACTTGTTAAATTAGATTATTTTGTAGCAAAATAAAAAGTTTATTGATAAATAAAGACAACACAACCTTTAATACCGTTTTAATATATAACATTACACTATCGCTCTAATATTTAATGTTAATAACGTACTAATGTTATAGTATAGTTATAATGTTATCTAATATTATAATATCGTAATATCGTTATAATATTTAACATTAGAACAATATTAAAAACAAATTATTTGTAAAGTTTGTTCTGAATAATAAATTAGGTTACAAAATATAATTCTTGATAAAATTTTAACAATTTAAAAGAAAACTATTTTACTTTTGAATACGTAATAACTGGTTGAGTTTAAATTTTCAAAAACTTCTGGTGTGAAATAAAAGCCTTACTGGTGTGAAATAAAAGCCTTATGTAAATATAACCCCTCCCTCCCCCCCTCCCGTTAGATATTTTAGGTATTTTTTTTATATTTAATTGAGCAATTGTTTGAAAACGGAAGTAAATTAGGGAGGCTGTTTAAGTGTGATAAAAAATTTTAACAAGTTTGTATGTTTTAGAAATGTATTCTTCTTTTTAGTCCTTGTATTAAGGACTTAAAATTAACTATTTCATAGTTAATTTCGAGTCCTTAATACAATGGTGGGGAGGGGGGGGGGACTTTAGTCCAGATATAATAGACGGGATGATTTTAATAAACGGGGGTGGGAAATTTTTTATAAAAAATTTTTTTTTTCTAAAATAATTATTTTCTAATTTAATTCCAATTTTGATTGAAGTTTTTTTTTTTTAGTTTTGAGATATAAAGTTGTTGATAACAAATAAAAGTTAAAAAACAAGGCGAGTTATTAATAAGCTTATTGTGTGTAGAATAACCCCCCCCCACCCTCTCTTTTTTTTTTTTAACCATAAAGTATAAAAATTAACAATAATATTTTATAAACTCACATAAATAAGGTTAGGCGTCACTCATATAGTTAAAAGCTAGTCAATCGAGTGACACCTAAAAAACAAACAAACAAAAAAATTCAAATAGAAATACATTGGTGTTTTATAGAGAGCTTGCCATACTTGATAGTGTTGAAAACGGAATTGTGCAAGTTAAATTTTCAGTATTTCGAGTCTAATATTTGTGTGCGTCACTTATTTTAATAAAAAATTTATTAAACGAATTTGGAAGTTTATTTTGAAGCAAATCAAACACAAAGAGACAATTATAAAGCTTTACAAGATTGTAAAATTTTAGAACTTTTAATTCAGAAAACTTATTTTGGATATTAGATCGTAAGGGAGAAAATGTCATTATTCTTATGGAAGTGCGTTGTAAACTGTTTAGACGATGTAATAGAAAATTTTCTTTTTGACCCCAAACACTGCAACAATAACTTAGATGTGATGTGAACAAGTATAACATACATTAAGACAGTAAAA